TTTTAATTCGATGTTCTTTAAAAGCGTGTTTTTTAGTTTTTATGAACTATATTTATTTTTTGAACACACCTCGTATTTAAGAATTGTAGACCAGTGTGCGTACTATTACTATCGATAAAGCTATGGTGTTAGCGAAATGCATCTAAAATCAACATTTTACTTGTGAAAATTGCTTAATTATCATGAATAGTCTTATTAACTTTCGTCAAGTGAAGACAGCAACCGTCTGGAGGCAGCAACTACATGTTCACGTCAACACATTATGTCACATTCATCAGTGAAGACACCAATAGGAAGATTTACAATGCTTCACAGTCTTCATCCCAGAATATAATCACTCATCATATCTATATTTATAAGGATTGATATTTCAGCTTATGGGAATATTAACTCTTCTTATCTTCGCCATTACTAAGCTAAACATCAATATAGCGATACTACCGGTTCTGATAAAGTTCAAATCGAGCAGTAAATATGTATTATCAACATAGTTAAATATGAAGAAACCAGTGAGTTTTATAACCTCAAATTATTTACTTCCTCACGGTGGTCCAACAAGTATAATATTGCGAAATATTGAGATCAAGTAATAAATAACTCATAGATCATAATATAACCTAAAACATAATTTTCTAGGTGGATGTTTCGTCGACAAAGCTGGTTTCACCAGAAGAACTATAATTGATTGAAAGAGGGAGTATTTTCAGGGGGAGGTTAGTTTCTTTGAAAAAACATTCTGTTTTTCTACCTATTATTACTTTGGGTGAGGTTAATGTGAAAATCAACCCAGAGTTATTTTTCTTACATCAACTGTGTTGAAAACTTTCGTACAAAGAGTTGATTCATTTTCTTACAGCTTACGAGTTTAATCTGACTTTGCCTCTGTATTTACTGATTCAAAGTCGAACTCATAAAACGGTTCATTTAAAACCATAGAATTTATAAGTGGACATCACTTCTCAGCCCACCCATTGTTCTTATTCATGAAAAATTAGGTCAAGTTGAATAATGTTAATATGCCAGGTACCTTTTAGTAAAACGATGTGATGCTCTGATTTCTATATAGGATTATGCATGGGGAATTTTTCTTTAGGCTTCTTACAGGGTCTGTTTGAAACTTGGATTCAGAACGTATTTGGCGGGACTCTTCCTGTCCAGAAACAGAAGTTTCGTCTGGGGCTTTTTCAAATAATATATCGTGGTGACTGATTTCTATTAACAATTTATTAATTTAAAGATAATATACTGTGATGATATGTGATAAAAGTGGTTTTTACATATTACTTGAATTTTGACAGA